TCCACGAGGGGTAACATGTGTAAGTAAAGTAATTAAGTTAGATTATATATATATATATAATACTTTAAAATCTATATCAGTCATATTTCATATTAATTATAAACTATCTCATGAAGAAATAATGATTATTTCAATTGACAACAAGTTTTTAGTTTCTAACATATTTCAAGTTAAAAAAAAAAGAAGAAATAACCCTTTTTTGTTTGTTTTTTTTCTTTTTTCACTTAGAAACAAAAAGAAAATATACACAAAAATAATTAATTTATAGTAGATGTATATTTGTTTTTAATATTCAATATATTTTTTTCCATCTTAGTCAAGTGTAAACTAGATAGATACATGATGATTTGTCATTTTTGTTTGTTTGATTTTAATATTCAATAATCATTCAAGTGAATTATTTCATTGGGAAAAAAAGAAGAAAAAAAAAACTTATTTTAATGAATGAAAAAAAAAATAGGTGATAAGGTTTAATTCCAAAGAAAAACAAAAAAGAAAAAAAAGAAAAAATAAGGTAGATACAAATTCAAATGAATAAACAGATTATATATAAGCAGTTAATTAATATGTATACAAAGATAGTTATATATTTAGATGAATAGAATTTGATGGGACGGAGGGAGAAAGAGAGGGGGAGAGGGAGGGGGAGAGGGAGGAGTGAAATGGGATAATAAATGTCTTTTAAAGATTAACTCATCATTTTATGGGTTTTTCTTCGTTTTTTTTAGTAGAAAATTTTTTATAATTAAAACTGACGAAATATGGCTTAATAATTAATAATAGAAGGGGTTTTGTGGAGACTTAGTATTTATTATAAATGAAAGCGTGAGTCAATTGAAGCTAGACCACCAGAGAAAACCTGGAAGCACTGGATGGCCGATTCGTTCTATTATAGGACTCCTCAGCAGTGCGCATCCACGAACCCGCTCTCGTGAGATTCGAACCCAGGCTCAAGACTGGTAAGTCCTGGGTTTTATTCTCGCGAGAGCGGGTTCGTGGATGCGCACTGCTGAGGAGTCCCATAATAGAACGAAACGGCTGTCCAGTGTTTCCAGGTTTTCCATGGTGATCTAGCTTCAATTGACTCACGCTTTCAACTATAATAATTATTACTTAACAGTTTGATTCATCGATAGACTAGAAGGAATGAATGACAATGTAATAGTTGATGATGTACTTCAGTAAGGAGAATACAGGCCAAAGAATAAGGCGAATAAACTTTTAAAAATAATATATACTGTTTTGTTTTTTTTGATTATTTATTCTTTATTCTGAAAACATTCTGATTGTACTGACTTAAATCTATATCACAAATTACTCAATTATTTAATTTAATGTAATTCATTCTACAAAACAGACTATTATTAGAATGAGTATTTGTGAAGATTGTAGTCGTTTTTTAATAGTTGTATCATAAGTCAATTTAAACTGGACCACCACTGAAAACTTGTACACTGCTGAGAAATCCCGTAACAGGACAAAATGATCACCCGGTGCATCCAGGTTTTTATAATGGTGATTTAGCTTAAATCCACTTATGAATTCAACTATTAAAAAAACAAACAGACTATGCTACATGCTGGAAAAATGTAAGCGTGATACATTACAGTGGTTATCTTATTTTTCATGAGTAATGTCGATTTGTGAGCTTTCATAACTCACAAGTTCATTTATTGTAAAAATGTCGAATTATTTTACCTAAAGAATGTTTAACTCTGATGATCAAAGAGTGAAACTCTGTTATACTTTAACTCTATTTATTTAAGTTTAGGGAACTCAAGTCGGACAGACCATTTTTTTAATTTTTTAAACTTTCAATAAACGTTAGCACTAAAATCGAAGATGTGGCGTTCATCAGCTGGATGTCTATGTTGAGACATGCAAATGATAACGACAGCCTTAACTATGAGAGCATTATCCAGTAAGTCATTGATTTACAGTAACTAACTAACTAGTTTGCTAAGAATATTACTTATTACTAATTGTAAGCATTTATTTTATCCTATTACAAGTATTCGAAGCTGAAACCGTTCAATCACCATTTTTGTTTGTGCTGCATGATGAGAACGTCAGAATTCTGTCCTAATTGCTAACATCAGTCAAGTAAAAACGATCAGAACTGTTGGTAGGGGGATTTCTCGCCTGATTTTTATGTAAAATTGAAAGTATGTAACAACGGAATATATATTAAGATTCATATCATTCTGATATGATGCAAATTTAGTGTCATACAAATATATATCCTCACAGTTTTTAAATCACAAATTGATCTTAGTTCAACATCTACTGAAAACATGGAATTACTGAAAGGCTATTTAACCAAGTATGGAACTTTTCAATGGTTCTCACCCACGACTTTACACCCAAGAGTCGAACTCAGGGCTGGTCTCGTGCTCGAAAGCTTAACCTGCATTCAGAGGTATGAATGTATAACTTTAATTAATTCATCACATTTATCAACCATCAATATATATTCATTTTGTATGTATTTTATTTTTAATTATATGCTAAGTAACAAGGTTTACAAACATCATACAACACTTTATGTATAGTGATCTGGATTTAAGATATCCATCGAACAGTATGATTGATTCAATCACCATGAATTCCCAATTATTGTATTCTTCTTCCTTTATTAAGCAAACAGTTGTTTCCAGCTTTTATTTTTTAGATTATTACATCTTTTTATTTCTAAAACTATTACTCAATGTAAGGTCTTGACGATCTTTTGACTACTATTGTACTGAATAAAACACGACTGGGTGCAATTACAGACTATCTCACTAAATTCCGATAACCATACAACAAATATTTAATTTGAAAACTAACAACCAATTGTCTCAATCTTCACTGTTTCTTCTGTAAACATCAGTTCATCTTCTGTAATTCCACTGTTCATAAATTTTCCTACTAATTGAGTTTCATTTCAGTTCTTTCCTTATCGGTCTTCTGCCGATATACATTTTATGTCTAACCATCGTCATATACTACTTATATGGATATAAGTAGACTACATTATTACTACTGGTAAGTGTTGTGACACCCCTCATTACCTAAAAACTTTAATCACATTAAGATGACACCCTTCCATGTATAAACTATTATACATGATACTTAATATCTATTGATAATTATGACTATATTATGTAACACCACTTCATTTTCATTGACTTTCACTTAAATAAGTTTGACTATCTTTGATAATTCTATAAAACCCCTCTATTTTACTTTAGACTACTACATGTAAAATGACCTATAAATAAGATAATAAAGTTTCAGAAAATGATATCGTCAAAAAGACACTTTCTAATGCTGAAACGTCTCCATTCCTTTTGATGAATCAATGTGCTGCTTTCATTGGTTCAAGTTGTCATTATTTATAAAAAAAGATTTCAGAAATAGTTTTCAGTTGTCAGTATCTGTCCATCATCTTCAATGGAGAAAGTTTCTCTACCAAAACAGTTACTACAAATTTCATTTCATTTACTGTGTATTAGATGAATAGATTTTTATTGAAATCATGTATCAATCTAGATTAGACTACTGTTGATTACCTGAAAACACTGGACATTCTTTTCATCCTAGTATGGGATTATTTAGCAGTGTTCATCCACAGTCACGCACGCAGGAATCGAGCTCACGATCTTAGGTCACACATGTGAATACCTAAACTCTATGCCACTGAATCGGCCTTCGACGCTGTTGATGCCTAATTTAGATCAATCCACGAATTCTCACGACCATCTTCAATTGTCTTTGATGAATAATTGCCTCACGCCCGGCATGGATTTGCTCCACTGGCCATGAATTCTCACAGGAATTCCGGAAATTTCCTCTCAAAGCTAGTCTCTGGTAAGCACATGATTATTATCAGTAAGGGGTCGTGAAGATTATTGAATTTCCTTGGAATCATGAAAAGATCTAAAGACTATATATTTCAAATCTAATCGTCATTTATTTCTTCAAAGGAAATCAATTTATTTAGGATTTAAAATTGATTTCGTATAACTTTATAACATTCGTCAAATTTTATAGTTGAAATCATGAGTCAATTTAAGCTAGACCACCATGGAAAACCTAGAAGCACTGAATGGTCGTTCCGTTCTATTGTGAGACTCCTCAACTGTGCGCATCCACGATCCCGCCTCGCAAGATTCGAACCCAGGACCTATCAGTCTCGCGCGCGACCGCTTAACCTGTAAAACCATTGAGCACAGCCAATTGATAACGTTTACACACATTTAAAATATGATTATGTAATAAATATATATAGTCAATTATTTACTAACCTGTATGTGTTCTAATATGTACATCATTATAAACAAATAGATTCAACTGTAAAACTGACAGTAATTAGGAAATCAATAGTGAAATTACGATAATAATCTTTGACGAGTAAACCTCAATCAAACGTTCACTGAAAAACAAGAATTAATTGGGTTGAATTTATTCATAGTGTGAGAATCCTCATGAGTGACCACCCATTACCCTACTAGGGATTGGAACTCAAGTCACTCAGTTCAAGCAATTAGCTGTTGATTATTTAACTATTAGGCTGCCATATAATGATGTACATTTTTACATTTAATTAGATTGCGACGAAGTGCATTTAAGATAATCCAGTAATTGTTTAAAGCTCAACAATTTTGAATTTCAACGGTTCCGACTTGTGAGGTAAGAGCATGACAATTACAACCTACAATTTAAATTTTTATTTTTTAAAACTCTTACAACAATAGTAACAATCATAATTATTTCAACAGTTAAGATCATGAGTCAATTGAAGCTAAATCACCATAGAAAACCTAGAAGCATTGGAGGGCCATTTCATCCTAGTGTTAGACTCCTCACCAGTGCTCATCAACGATCCCACCTCGTGAGATTCGAACTCAGGATCTATCAGTCTCGTGCATGATCACTTAACTTCTAGAACCACTGAGCGCGGCAAATTCACAATATGATTATGTAATAAATACATATATAGTTAATTAGTTACTAACCTGTATGTGTTCTAATATGTACATACATATTACTATAATGTTTTGTTGTATAATTACATAATTTACATTTTAATAATGATTCCCCTGTATTAGTTGAATGTATTTTTTGTAAATGTCTTAATAAATTTTTTTCAAATCGAAAACATTTATGACATAATGGACAGAATATATTTTGATCTATTAGAAATTCATTCAAATTTAATGATGGCAAATATGGTGTTAATGGATTCGAAGTAGACTGTAATTGTGTTTTGTTTAATGAGATTAATAAGGAATTCATAATTGAATGTTCAGTATTAAAAGAATAATCAATGATTGGTGCTGTTGCTGTTGTTGTTGTCGGCGATGATGATGATGATGGTGATGACGGTGATGGCGGTGATGTTTGTTTCCAAATTGGATCATTCTTTGACAATGTATTATGATATATTTCAGGATGATAATTTTCTATGCATAAATCTGACCAATAAGGGTTACATTTAGTATGATCTATTTCTGGTACATTAAATGAAGTCATATATGAATCTAAATGATGGCTACTATCAATAAGGAAATCACTATTATTATTATTATTACTTTGATGATTTGAGTAAATTTCTTTATTTTCATTGAATTGTATCGTTGCTTCTTCAAGAGGTAGATTATCATTTAAATGATTACTTTCATGCTTTATATGGTTGATCAAAGTGTTATCATGTAGATTATTACAATTTATTGATTCATAATTATTATATACATTAAACTGATGATATGGTTCAATGTTACTTGTCGTTGATGATAATGACGATGACGACGATGGGGATGGGTATGCTGATGCTGATAATGATGCCCAATATTTGTTAGATGATAAATATTCAAATAATAAACTATTTAATTTAACCAAACATCTTTTAATTAAGACATTTCTATTAGTTAAATCGATAAGATCTGGATTTGTATCATTACCATTATTATTATTACCATTACTATTATTATTATTATTATTAACCGGACTATTAGTAGATTGTAAACTAGTAATTACATAATTAGAATTTGATAAAATTACATTTTGTAAAGTTTTCTGAAACAATTCTGTTCTCATTAACTTTGACCAGGTAAATAATAATAAAGGGGGTGGTATAAATGATTGTATATTATAATAATATTGTTCTGAATAATTTTGGATAATATTCACTTGGTAATCATCTTTTCTATCATGATCATTATTATTTTGATCATAACAATCACTATGGTGATCTAAATGATTATTGAACATTTAAAATAATATAAAATATAGAATTGTGTTATGTCATATAAATCATAGATTGTTTATTAAAGATATATGTAGTACATTATATATATATTGATGTTTCCTTGGAAGCTGGAATGATCTGAAACAATAACACAACAGTTAGGACTGGTAAGTGCTTCTGAAATAAGAATACGGTGTACTGGGCACAACAGATATGCTTTTTTTTTAAATTGAATGTTGCGGTTCGAGTACAAAAATAGGGAACTTATTACAAAATAGTTTTATTTGTTGTTCTGTTGGTTCATATCGGATAGGGATTGTTCCACTTCTTCTAATGCATTTACTGTTTGTTACCCTGCTATTAGGAAAAAACAAACTCACATTGGTAACGTCACAAGTAATGAACTATGAAATCAATATCTTATGTAACATACTTGATTTTTTTTTAATTGATAAAGAATATGATGATACAGTTGAGAATAAAATACACAAAAAATTTCGATGAAAATTGGCATCATGAACTGATTGACTTCAGATAGACAACTACCGGAATGTACAGAGCACTAGATAGTTATTTCGTTCTGGTATGAGACTTCACAGTAAACTTTTTACGATCTCCTCTAGAATTAAACTCGTGACCTTTAGATAAATATGTTGCTTTTAGACCACTGAGTTGGTGAGATCTAATAGCTTACATTTATGGTTCTAATTAATTCATAATATTGTTGTTATCTTTAAATAGGATGTGCAAGTTTGTAACTAATTGAAATGTAAGTGACCGATAAAACGGATTCCTTCCAACCGCCCATGACATTTAATCATTTATTTTTCTGTTAATCTTTTGTGTACAAGCGTTTTATTTTATAGGACAAAGACCTATTCTTTAGTGTACCTGAATTTTAAGTCCATCATAGACTACTGGTCTTGTCTTTGATCACAGATCGTACAACGTCTTTGACCAATCATCTTATAAGCAGCTATCATTCGGTCACATTATATCATTGCATATCATTCATCGATAAGCATTGTTTTGCCTTTTTTTTAACAATACAACAATTTTAAGGATTCAGATCTGTTTTCTGATTGATCGCACACAATATTCTTGCGTTGTTCTTTTATACTATTTAAACTTAGATTAACTTTGATTTAATTATTTATTCTCTGAAGAAGTGGCTTACACTGAGTCACGAAACGTCAGAAAATCTCATTTTTCTACTCATTGGGATATTACAAATATATTAATTTATTTATAACAATTTACCCAATGCTCAATTTATTCAAAATGATCAAATCAAACCTTGGGTATTGATACCTACAATCAGAAATTCGTTCATGAAATCAAGACACTTTAATCCATAACTTCATACTAATGACAGTCCTTGAATATGATCTATCTTAAAAATTGAACGATATCTCTGCAAAGATCATGAAGAGACCAATACAAATTGCATACTCATGTCGTTTGAAATGTCAGTATAATGTACACAAAGTAAGTTTGTTGTTTCATACTAATACCTCGTAGGTAATTTAATAATAGTGTAAATAACAGTCTAATGGTTTTTAGTATGCCATTTGTACAATTAAGTGTTTGAATTGGGAAAAAAAGATGGATTAAATACTTCTAGGAACTTATTAGTTTGTACCAAATTTATTATATTTGCAGTAATTAATCATTGAATAGTGACCACTATCATCTTGTACAGTTCTTAATGATAATTTTGTCTAATAAAAGCTGTTCAACATAAGTATACTTGAATAATTTACCAAATACAAATAGCATGTTTGGCGGCTTGTTTGGATATCTGGGCTACCTGTTCCTCTCTACAATCTAGATATTTCAACAACTTATCTGTTTCCTTGTTTGTTTCAATACATCATTATGTCAATTAATTGCATAACCTATTCAGATACGTTTCTAATACGTTTAAAACCTATCTTTGTACAAGTTACAAAAGGTCCAATCGGAGATATCATCGTTGCTGAAAATAAGCAGTGAAGAGAATGTATATTATTTCGATATCAATTTACTGAACTGCTAACATCTAACTGGCGATCACTCAATATTTATCGTCAGGATCGACCAAGAAATAAGAAACGGAAACTTGTTGGAATACTTTGTACTGAGAATTCTATATTTCAGAAGGGGTTTTGTGGCGATTTAGTATTTTCATAGTTTAAAGCGTGAGTCAATTAAAGCTAGACCACCAGGGAAAACCTGGATGCCAGCTCAGTGGTCTAGAGGTTAAGTGCTCTGGCGCTAGACTAGTTGGTCCTGGGTTCGAATCTCTCGAGGCGAGGTCGTGGATGCGTACTGCTGAGGAGTCCCACAATAGGACGAAACGGCTGTTCAGTGCTTCCAGGTTTTCCCTGGTGGTCTAGCTTCAATTGACTCACGCTTTCAACTAAGAAAATTCTATAGTTTACCAAAAATATAATATTGAATAAAGCTAATAATAAATAATATTGAGTAAATAAATAACATATAAGTTAATAAATACTAATTTAAAACTAATATTTCGAGTAAAGATCGATAGCGGCTGGCTGTGGAATCCAGGACTCATGTTTCGTTCTATTTGGGACTCGTCAGTTGGATGCAACTGCATCTCGGAGTCGATGTTCACTCTGGAACTCGAACCCAGTATTTTTCGCTTCAAACTGGATTCCACTGCTAGCCACTATCCATCTTTGTTTACAAAGCTTGTAACTTAAGACTATCTCGGGGTAATACGTACATTATGCACATATACCAACAAGAGACTGACCAGTTGCAGTCCTAAACATCAATGGGAATATTCAAACAAACAATACTAAGTGAATTTAATACTTCGAGTTAAGATTAACAATGTGACAATGAAATAATTAAGATTCAATAGAAAGAGGTATGAAAAATTTCTGTTCATATTATTTATCATTAAAGGTTCAAGTCTTTTGTAGATGATTTTTATAAAATTAAAACTTTACAGAATATTTAACCGCTTTTAGACTCTTTTATAATAACGTTCATAGGAAATCAAGGATGAGACAACTATACGTAGATGATGTTAAATGATGATAAGAATTAATTTCAAAATTAATTAAATTTGGAAATGTTAATGGATGGATTCTAATTCATGGATACAGTTATATAAGATCATGAGTGTATATTACTATAGAGTTTCAGATAACAAAATAATACATATCCAATGTTCCTTGATTTGTAATAAGTTTTCAGTTGAATAAATAAACAACTGAATCATTTGTTGAGGTTGTAAACTAACCTAACATACGTAATCATTTTACAACAGTTAGCAATGGACAAGTGTTTCGTTCTAGTATAGAACTCCTCAGTGCGAGATCGAATGTTTTAAGTACCCAGGGCATTCAGGATTTCAATGATGTTTATATTAATATAAATTATATTTTTATTTATTTTAACTTTTTAATTTTATGTATGTCGATTATTTAATGAACTCAAGAGGTCTTACAAAAGGATTAAAACTAATTGTGAAGGTAATTGACACTAAATTCGAGTGGATTTGTAATATGTGGTTTGTATTTTTTGTATCTTTTAAATCGACAGGAAGCCATATGAATAGAGATTAATGTATTAGGCGTACTGGATGAGGTGACAGACGATATTTGTGGAAGAAAGTTGATCAAGAATGATTTGTATGTGAAGATGTGACACTTTTAATCACTGTAGAAATATTCTTCGTATATGGTAGGGTAATAATATACTTTTTAACCGTAAACTATGCAACAAGTAAACAGGTTGTTTAAAACGATCAGATAAAAGGTTACACTAATGGTAATTATGAATTTCTCATATACAATTTAAATGCTAAGGAGTTAAATGGATTATTAAATGGGAAATTTGTTACGATATTTCATATTTCAGCTGAAAGTCCCTTTTTTTCTGTAAACAAGCATATAGTATTGAATGAAACCACCTTTTATTTAGCTATTATTATCAGGATTATTATTGGGAAGGGGGTTTATGGAGATTGTAGTAATTTTAATAGTTGAATTCATAAGTCTATCTAAGTCAAACCACCATTGAAAACCTAGAACTACTGAACGGCCGTTTCGTTCTAGTATGGAACTCCTCATCATCAGTAACCATCCACGATCCCACAGCAAAGGGACTCAAAACTACAACCTTCAGTCTTTCACATGAACAAATAACCTCGAGACCATTGTGCCAGCATCCAACTGTGTTTATATCTAACTTCAGTCAATCCATGATAATGCTCAACCCTTCATCCATTGTATTCAGTGAATAACTGTCTCACATCCGACATGGACTCAAATGCACTGATCACGGCCTCTCATCAGAACTTCAGAAAATCCATCTGTTGGATTCCGCCTAAGTGGTCTACATGCTAAGCGTTCACTTGCCAGATAGAAGGTCTTGTTTTCGAGTCCCTATGATGTGGGATCGTGGATGCGCACTTCTGAGGATTTTCATACTAGAATGAAACAGACGTCCATCAATCTCAAATTCATTCGACAAAACACCAAATCTCCATTCATGATAACTATCATGAGTACGCTAGTGACTGGCTTCGATAGAAAGCCTCTTTAGTTCTAGTGAGAAACTAGGTCTAGTGCAGTGTGAGGAAGATGTCTAACGAAAGCAATTAAAGATGTTCACATAACATAGCGGATTGACTGAAGTTAGATTTGTGCACCAATAGACCTTCCCTCAATGACCTAGAAGTTAAGTGCTCTTGCCCAAGATAGAAAATTCTAAATGCGATGCATTTTAGTGGGGTTGAGGATATAAACTACTGGGGAATCTCGTACTATAAATCAAAAATGAATAGTATATAGTAGGGTTGAAAAAAATGGAAGAGTGGAAAATATTGGGAAAAGATAAGATATTTTATAGGAAACAGAAATGTAACCGCTTATTCTATTAAAGCAGTCACCTTTCTATAGGTTACTTCTTCATAAATTGACATTGTTTTGAATAACAGAGGAAGCCATCAAACACTGAACATTGATTTCATCCTATTTTGAAATTGTACAAAATAATAATGTTCTAAATAGTGATTCACATTGAGATTAGTTTATCAGGCTCTCGTAAAAGATTATGACTTCTGAAGTTTAACCAAATCATGGGACAGTTAGTCATTATCAGTGAAATAGTTATATTCTGAAGTTTGGAATGTAGACTATTGAGTTAGTGATTGAGAACTTAAGAAAAATAGCTGTAATATCAAAATTTCTTGCTTTCAATCATCGAGGAATTAGCTTGAACTCACTGTTGAAAAGCCATATGTTTCAACGAAACATCTATCCACTATCTCTTAATTTTATATAGTACAGGAAATATTGTCCAGCTATTATACAAACTTATTTTAAAGAAGTCAGTATAAATGTGTTGATCAGTTTAAGGTTTGTTTTTCAATAAACTATAAGAATAACATAAGCTATTTATGAATTACTTACCACGTATATTAATCACTTAACTATTGAAATACTTGAAACAGTCTATTCTAAATTATTTAGTATACAAAGATTATTTACTTTTATCTTAATAAAAGTTCATCATTTACTAAATAACCCATAATAATTGACTTATGATTTCAACTACTGAAATTACTATAATATCTACAAAACCCCTTCTGCTGATATCAATCAACGTATGTTCACTAGAGACTGGCACCAAGAGGTATTTCCTAGAGTTCTAGTGAGAAACAGTAACGAGATTCGTAGTGTTTTATGAACATCAATCATTATCCTCGAAGGTACCAGCTATTTTCTTTGAACTTTATAGATATTTAAAATTATTTATCATCACAGGTTAATGTCAACTAGAAGATTATTCAGAAAAAAAACAGTCAATGCTGAACTGCTGTTCTTTTCTAGTTTGAAATATTTTAGTCACATAGATATGTGATCTATTATAGTAGTTGAAATAGTCATTAATGACCAAGTAGCTTCAATAGCTCTTTAATCAATGTTAGTTACATGGTGAAAATCTGAAAAACTGAAAAACTATCTCACAAAACATTTAAAATCACAAATATTTTAAATATTTATTTAAAAATCATGATTAATACCCACAGTATTCACATATCCCAATAAGAGACTGACCAGTTGCAGTCCTAAGAACATCAACGGGAAGATTCATACAAATAATACTAAGTAAATTTAAACTTCACCCCAATGTACAAGCAAGTGGCTATCAGAACTCAGTAGCTGAATGGATAACGCAATAGCGTTTGAAGCATACGGTACTGGATTCGAGTCCCAGAG